ACTTACGGCAGATTCCAAAAAAAATTAGATATATTTTCAATGCAAACGGAATTTCCCGAGTTTTGATTAAAATACTGCTGCATATTAACATGAGTTCGTGGTGTTATATCATCAATTTGTAAATTAAGATCAGCAAGATTGTCTCTTGTGACTAGACAAAAATGACAAGGATGTTTCGACATTAGTGATTTGTATGTAAGACAGTACGTTGCACTTCTGGCTAGTCACATATTATAGCTGAAACTCTAGGATAAAACCAAATCATTTCGTTATTTAAAAATAGATCAATGCCATTTTTATTTAATTTTAATAAAGGGTCTAGTAACAATTCCAAAGATTTATGGAAGCATTCGCAAACAGCAATCTTAAATGTTTCAGACTTCCTTTCAGTAATATTATTAGATTTTAAGATCGGCAGATACGCTAATAATTGCTTTGCATCTTTCTTATTACGCCTCCAATTTTTAATATTACCAATAGACAAGTAAATGGGATGGAGTTGACTTTTTCCTAGTGTGTCAACATTTGTAGCATCAGAATATAATATTAAAGATAAAAGCTTGGCTCCAGGTGGCAGGGATTTTTCTGCATTTTCCCACCATATCCCAGTATTTTGTTCGCTAAACTCCCTTTCACTGTTATGCTTTAAGTTTATATGAAGATTAGTAAATATCCTATAATATTAAGTTGTATATTTCATACGAAAGTATAAAATAATTACCTCAACTTTCTCAAAAGTTAATGCAAAATTTTGTGATATGTCCGAAATTGACAAAATATTTTTTATACAGTTTATTAAAGACTGATGATAAAGAAAATACTCATTATTATTATAATTCATTATACTAGTTTTAGTATAATTTAAATTTGGTAGTTTCATATTATCCATATATTTGCGGCCTTGTTTGATAGATCTTGGAAGAGGTGATTTATCTAAATTTGCATGTTTATTAAAGAATTTAATTATAGCATTTCCTGTCACATTGTTAAGTTTATGTTTCGTAACTAATGCCATTAAATCACCATATACTTCACTTGGATAATTAACATTAATTTCTGGTTTGGATTCTTCTTCATTTAATTCTGAATCAGAATCTTCCAAGATATTTTCAAAGACATTTTCATTTTCATCGTGGTCTATTTCTTCTATATTTTGATCAATTTCACCAACCTCTGAAATTGACATCATACTTTGAAAACTCTGATTATTTATTTCCGAGTCTGTACTTTTATTATCAGAAAGATCTTTTCATGAATCTTCACTGACCATCTATAAAATTAATTATGTTAAAAAAGAAATTCAAAAAATTTTATAATTTCCTATTTTCTTTACCTCGATATCATGATTATTAGTTTTATGTTCAAATTCTTCTAATTCTTCACTATCGCTACTATCGTTATTAGGTGGAGTACAAAAATTCTTATGTTTAGTGTATGCAGACCTTGTGCTGAAGTACCTTGGACAAAAAGGGCATTTATATGACATTTTTAAGAGTATTTTATTTATTTGAATTTAAACTTTACAAATTAATTAAAAAATTATTTGCTCATTTATGTCAATTTATAAACGTTTGCATAATGGTGTAGTTAGCCAAAAAATAATTAACCACAACATGATCCGGCTCAGGCGTAGATCATTGTGAAAAGTTTACCTCTTTTTAAATTTTTCTACGAAAAGTGGCGTATTTCGATAATCATAAAGTAAGTTTCGGGTGAAGCTATATTTCAAATTTAAATCGTTTTGCTAAGCCTCGTCTAATATAAGCCAAAATCTCTAAAATCCTATTTTTGAAACTGTATAGATCAGATCATGTTAATGGAAACATAAGCCGGTTCAAAAATTGGTTTTCCCCTGATCGATTTTAATTTTATAATAAATATAATAAACATAAGCTATTATGGATATTATACTTTTCGTCAAAATGACAAAATACTAATTAAATTTATTTTGACAGACGTAATGTATTTTGACAGACGTAATTAATTCATAGTAATTTTATAATAAATAGTGAATTGGTCCGTTCGCCGAAATATGACGTAATTAATTAACGGAGAAGTATAATGGATATATAACCAACCCAATCAATCAAAAATTGTGCTTAATTGTAACTGTGATCTGGTTGGTTATACATTTTTTCAATCAATAGTTGTGTATCAAAAGACCACAAGCATTTTTCTATATATTTATCAATTAATAAGCTTAGAAAAATTTCGTTATAATCATGCACAGCTTATTATTTTATAAAATCTGAATATTTATTGCGAGATATTTCGGATCTAGAAATATAGT